ACTATGGTTTCCATGTTAGACAATTCATGCAGTAAAATTACAGTATAAACGAATTACTGCAAAAACACAAGATTTGCCCAACAGAGATTCAGAATGGATTTTCAAGACAGAAATTTACAGAATCATACTCTACGGAAAAAGTTCAATATACTGTTCTTTGGAGTTATTGAACTATTACAGCTACTTTTTCTCTTGTTCTCCTTGCCTACAACTCTTTTTCTACCAATGACACTGCTCGAGTTTGAGCTTACGCTCTTTTGGGATTCTGGTGTCAGTTCTAACAGCACCAAATCCTCTTCTTGGGTCAACCCCGACAAAGGCTCAGAAACATTATCCATTTGGTCAGGGAGAGCTTTGTTCATTTTTCTTTTCTTGGAAGATTTTAGTAAATTATCTAGAGACCCACATGATGGTTCCTCACACTCATCCTCACTTATGACTAAAACTTCTTCGTCAACACTCTGCGCTAGATCCATGTGCAGTTCATCGCCTTTCCTTCTCTTGAATGGATTGTTGTCAGGAATCTTTAATGATTTGTAAGCAAGAACGTTTTTGTCTTCATTTGTTGTTTGAACTTTCAACGGTGTGCTTAGCTTCTCAAGTGCTAATTCTCCTTTAGAATTACGGCCATCTACTAGGGGTTTAATTCTCTTATCTGTCATAAAACAATGACGGTGGTATCTAATGCCATGAGAAAACATCATAAAAATCACTGCTATCAAGCATATGTTTCTACTAAGAATATATTTTTAAAATGTTAATTTACCAATTTAGTTCCCCGACATGCTTTTAAGGATCTTCTTTGGTCTCTTGTCTATTTAAGGATTTGAAAGAAAAAACATACTAATGAAATTGAGAGGAAATTATAAGCTTGAATTAACTAACCCGGGATATGTCTTTCTTTGTCCTTACAGACGAAGACCATAAAACAGCTATCGTTCGCAGATGCCTCAGCTGCCTCGAACCTTGGAAGTCTTTCGTTGTTTTTGATTTGTACAAGGTCTTGGCGACGTTCTTCACTTGGGAGATAGTCAAAGGCCTCCATTGTTATGGGGTTTAACCTTCCTTCGGCTATTGAAGCAGCTATTGAAGGAGGCATATCTCTATTTTCAACATAATTGGTCAAAGAAAAACTATAACATAAAAAATAATTTTATAAAAGAACAGTTCATTACTGAAGATGCTAGTTTTCCAAGAAAATATGAACTCAAGCGTGTAAAAATGGTTTTTGTATGAAGGATACGGTCCCAAGAAATCAATTTCTTCGTCTAGGAACTGCAGAAGCTCTAGAGGAAGCGGTTTCATATGTTTAAGCTTTCTCGTCTCAGCATCATATCTGCATTGGACTAAAACAAGTCAAGACTTGATGAAAACATTATGGAAACAATGGTTACTCCCAGATCAAAATTTTCATTATATACACACATTTGTGCATGCTGAAAAACTGCCATAGCTTCCCTGAAAAGTTTGAAGTAATCTTCAGGCATTTTCTTCGGTTTCTCAAGCTTCAAAACAGAAAGAACCTGAAAGAGATGTCAATTAAAAGCATCATTAGATGATTGCTCTCAAACGGGCCCTTTAAGTGTAAGATCCAGAGATGGCTTCAAGAGAAGAGTCACGAAACAAACGGTATTTAAGTTTTGCAAGGCTGATAAAGTAAACGAATGAATAATATAAAACACTTTGAACAATCGAACACTGCTTTAAAATTGCCTATCAGTTTAACCTTGTGTAAAACAGATAATGATCAAAACCATTACACTTGATGGATGCAAGAGCGAGCAGACATGCTTACACGTTCCAAATTCCGATACTTGGAGACCAAGGCATAAGCCTTTGCAATGCCAATTCCAGGAACAGAAGGAAGAAAATCACAGCCAGCTAAGACACACATACCTGTAGAAGACGAAAACATGTAATTTTGATGAAGATGGGATATTGCATCAAGAATTGTTCACAATTTCATGATGGGGAAAGAAAGCTTGAAGTAAATCTAGGAGCTCACCCGTGAGCAATTCCTTATCAAAATATCTGAAGGAAGGTGTGCAGCCTGCCGAGTCAAAAATCTTATCTAGAATCATCTCTTCCCCATTGCCGTATCGATCCATCTTAAATATTGTCTGCAAAGCTATTCCCATCAACACAAAGAAAGACTCGAAACATTCGTGCATTTAAATAGTTCAAGCAAAGGCAACATGGGAGCACTGGACCTCCATTTGCATCAAATCAAAGCATTGTGGAAGTTCTTACAGCTTTACAACCATATGCAATCAGGTCACTATCTTCTGTAATCACAGCCGCAATTCCTCCGTTTTGTGTTCCGAGGCTGGAAAGATATGCCAACTGTGCATCGGCCTCATAAGGGGCAACCACAAATTCGATGTTGTGTTCTCTAAGAAGCTAGAATGATTAACAAATGAAATGACTCAGTTGATGCAGTGTAATCTCGACTAACATACCGAAGTTCAGAAATTCATCGAGAAACTTAAGAAAATTGGTAAAGGTGAATGCAATGCGAACATATAATGTGGAAAACACTTGCCTTTATGAGTTGGTTTGCTATGAAGGGAGTAATATTCACCGCTCGCTACAGAAAAAGAGGGGGAAACGTGAAATTAGACATGAACACAAACTATACAAAGCATGCAAAATAAATATCAGTTTACTAATAAACGAATAGAAGAGAGTATTTTGCAGTGTGAGTGAAATTTGCTTAAACCTTGATAGCCACAAATTATTTTAGCTTAAGGAACTTTAATTCTACATACTACATGGGGGAAAGCCTGTTACGAGTAAGCGGAGAGGAAAGATCTCTAGAAACTCTAATCTCATTCCATTCTAGTGGCTCGACCAGTAATCAATGACACAAAAGTGAGTTGGAACCGAGCTCAGTAGCTCAACTAATAACCAATGGCACAATGAGTGAGTTGGAACCGAGCTCAGTGGCTCAACCAGTAACCAATGGCACAATGAGCGAGTTGGAACCGAGCTCATCATGGACAAATTATACTAAAAACGAGACCCTTTTGGCTCCCACCTTTGAATGATACTCCCAGTTCTGATAACTGAATGTAAAGAATATAAAAGCATAAAAGCATAGCAACTATGAAATATCAAAAACCTGGAAAAGCTCAGAGGCAGCACCAACATTCCCTTCTTTCAACTTCTCCATCGCTAATTCCCTGTTTGTCTCTCTTCTTCTGTAAAAGCCATATGTACCCATAATTTACAACTAAAAAAACTATAAAGGGCGTACTGAATTTAGAAACAGAATGATATTATGGGCACGAACCTGTGCCTCTGTTGCTCAGTGGCTTTCTTACATGGAACATTCCCACCATCAAAAACAACAACTGGGACTATCTTGTAATGGCGAAGCAAATTGATTCTATGCATACAGTAGTCTAAGTATCGCCATTTCTTATCACTATCAGAGTTGAGGCAAATCTCCATACTACACGAATAAGCTGGTATAAAGAGGAAGTGTCAACGAATGGATGACAACCCCCTCCCCCGAAAAATAACACGTTGCAATAAGGAAGAAGCAAGAACGTTACCTCCCTTGTGCAGCCACGAATAGGCATCGATACCCACCTGCGAAAAAAGTTCGACTCAGAGATCAATGAATCAAGAGAACTAAACAACCCAATGGAAACACGCGATACATTACACGTTTGCCCGCGTATTTCTTGATGTGAATGGGCTCAATGTAGGGCTTCATGAATCTGAGGAGATCTTTAATGCCCATTTTGATTTTGACAACGCCGATTTTCGAAGTGAAGTTAAGGGTTTTGGGTTTTGCCCTTCGTTTCCCTTCTTTTGGATCTTAAATATTGTCGCACTGGCCAAAAGCTCGAGACAATAGCAATGGCGGAGAAAATGGCGGGAGAGATAGCAAATGTGGAAGCAGAGACACAAAAGGATTGAAGCTAAAAGGTAACCTTACGAAGCCACTGGGCAAAAGGCAATATTTTGCTCGGAGAAGGATAATACGGTCAATTTGTACAATATTTTTACCGCGAAATTTGTTTTAAATTGCCCAACGCGCGCTCAGTGCTTTATTCGCGCGTTTGTTTTTATCTTCTTATTTTTCATTGTAGTTAAATTAATAAAAAAATATTTGAGCAATAATCCTAAATAATATTCTTACATTTTCAAAAATTCTTTAAAATATCCGTTATTTTTATTTTTATTTTATGGAAAATGCTATTATTTTATTTTAAAACTACATTTAACTTGTAGTATATTTTATAAATATTCTTAAAACTTTGTAAAAAGTCAATAGTATTTTCGATATTTTTAAAAAAATCAAGATTATAATACATTTGTTCAATTTTAAAAATAGCATTAACATCCTTACCTTCGTAAAAAAAATTATTATTACTTGAGAGATTATTTTCAAAAATTTTAATGTTATTTTTTAAAGTTTATGTCTGTATATTTTAAACGTGGTACTAACATTAACATTAAAGGTATTATTTAAATTTTTTTTAAAATAGGCAGAAACGACATTTTTTTTTTTAATAAAAAAGGGAATGTCAACTGTTGTACATTTCAATTTGAATTAGAAATTCAGCGCAGTTATTAACTACATAATACCATTATGTATTACTAATTACTATAAAATATGAGGGTTTTAAATGCAAGATCTAAAAACATATCCCTCCGTGGCACCAGTAGTAAGTACTATATTGATTCGGGGCTTTAGCAGGTCTATTAATTGAGATCAATCATTTATTCTCGGATGAGGTGTTTTTGAAATTTAAGGTGGTATTTGTTTAAATATAAAGGTTTTTTTTTAATTTTATATTATTGTTATTGAAATTTTTAAAAATTTAAGAATATACGAAAGGACATATAGATGAGAGAGAGAAATTATATTAGTCGTATTTTTCGTACAAATTATTATATTTTTTATAGTATAAATTTTAATTTTAGAGAATTAAATAAGTGATTATTATTATATTTTAAGAAATGATAGAAAAAAATAATAAAATTAAAAAGTGAGTAAGTCGAAATGGAAGAGGGAAACCCCAATTATATTTAGCGAAGCGGGCCGCGGAATCTCAATCTTCTTGAACTTGACCTGTAAATCTAAAGCTCAAAACCTTTGTTGCTTGTTGTTGTGACAATGGCGATCAACAACAATAGCGGGGATATCCTGATGCTCGAGGCTCCACCGCAGCCATCTCAACCAGCGTGGCGCGTTTCTGCAGATGCGGAGGTAATCGACGCCTTGCCCTACATCGACGATGACTATGCGGACCCAAGGGTCAAAGCAGAGGTCGATCGATTAGTGGAGGAAGAGATGCGGCGCAGCTCCAAGCGACCTGCCGATTTTCTCAAAGACTTGCCTCCTCTTCCCAAGTTCAAATTTGAGGTAGGTTAGGCTGCAATTTCCTTTCTCGCCGGAGCTTCTTCTAGGTTACGCACTTGTAGTTCCGCTTGATTTTATAGGTTATCGTGCCTGAAAGAACGAATTACTTTTTCTCACTGGTTTTATTTGATAGACAGTTACTAATGCCGAAACTAGAAGTGTTTAGAAGCTTCATCTGCTAGTTTTCTTCCAAAACATCCTCTATTTGTTTTATCCTCAAGTCACTGTGCGTCATCCAATGAATATATGACGCGCTACTCTACATAAGTTATTTTGCCACTACATTGGATAGATCTTGAAATTATTACGAAGTGTGATAATATTAGCAATAGTCTATTCAACTGACGTAGTTTGAACTCAGGATCATCCAATGCTTGCGAGAGAGTATGAACGTGTAAGAGCTGGGAGGCCTCCAATGCCTCTCGATGTTGCTAGATATAAATTAGAGACACCGCCTCCAAATAAAAAGAATGACGAAACTGCTTGGAAGCAGACACTTCAGAGAGCTCAATGCCTACTCCAGCATCAAGTGCTGAGGTGAATTTTAGCATGTTAAAGTTGTTCCTGGCATTTAAGCTTTGTATTTCTGGAAAACATAATTTTATGGAGAACAGTTAGAGTTGGCTACTTGAACTCATACAGTTCTTCTAATATCTGCCACACATAGTTAACATTTCTATGCCTTTTCTTGGTTGCAGTTGGTTTCTCATATCTAGTTTGTGTACCAATGAGCCATGACTGTGAGAGGTGTAATTTATAAAATTTTGATAAGAAAAGACATAATTCGGAAGATTATACGCCCAAACATGAAATTAAACATTAGAAAGGTTTTGACGATTCATTAGGAGATAATAAGAATATGGTAATCTGATGACTGGTGATGCTGTTGTCTCATACTGCAGGCTGGAAAATTTGGAACTGATGTCAAAATATGCCCCTGATATCTGGAAGCAACACAACAAACAGTTGGAAGCACTTCTATCAAGGTTTGTTACCATATTTCTTTTTGATGTCTTATATTTTGTGTACTAATTTTGTATTTATGTTGATCAAATATGATTCCAAGTCAAATCATTTGGCTTATCTCGTTCTATAGTGTAAATATGATTTCTGAATGAAGTGAACATGAAATTTAAGTACATCTGTGATCTGACCAAAGTAGACGTATATGATTGTTAATATATTGTCATGATGTTATCAGAATGCAAAAATTAGCTCAAGAACAGAATGAGAAGATTGAAAAAGTGAACCGTGAAAGGAAATTCCATCAAGTAAGTAGCATCCCTGTAATTCATATTTCAATGGGGCAGAGGTCAATTCTTTGGAATGTTTGGTTGATTATTTATGCGATGATCAGCAAAACGCTGCATATGAGCTTCATGCTTTGTCCACACAATGGAAGGAGCTGTGCGAGAAAAATATGGAAATCCAAGTGGCATGCTCTCAAATAGAGGGTCAAATCCAGGAACTAAGGAGTGAGGCAGCAGAAAAGTAATCTTGCCTTCTTCTATTTAATCTATTTTTGTCCTACATATGTTTGGCATGTTTAGTACTGATCTGTGGGTTATGATTCCAGAGGCTGGAATTTAGAAGTCAATGTAGAGAATGGTTCTGTTTCGTTCCCAGTGTCATAAGGTATGCTGTAGATGCCATCTCTTGTTTTTAATATCTGACATTTAACCCAAAGTTCACTTCCATTTCTCCTCTTATATTAGAATTTCTAACTTAACACTACTTGTGCCATGTTTGCCTTTTTACTGTTTATTTCTTTCCAATATCTCGTGTTAAAATGATATGTCATCTCTGGGCACCTACATTAGTTATCTGTCCAAAAATATCATGTGTTACTGTTTTCTGATTACCATCTGCGTTTATCCGTCTTCGAGTCAATTTTGATTTTTAGCAATCTCATGGCACAAACTGGAATGAATTCTCTTCTGCCATTAATGTGCTTATGTGTTTCCTCTCCCAACATATGAGAAAATACAATAATTCTATCTAAATTTCTCAAGTTGGCAAGGAGATGGCTCAGTTTAGTGGTGGCAGAAAATCTAACCCTTTAAAAAGAGTAGAGTTCGTTTTTCTTTCATTTTCTTCTCCCGACCTGGGAGATGAAAGAAAAGAAAAGAGACCGAGTGAAAGGACCAAAGATAAAAGGGTAAACCAATGTGATCATGACATTGTAGGTGCTTGCGATGGAAAGGAATTGGTTGGTTTGGGTTGCAGAAGTCCCTTCTTTTTTATGGGTCATCTCGTGCTTTTACCTTTTACTGGGTCATTAATACATCCATTGGAGTCGATTCTTTCTTCCACAAAATGTATCCCACAGATTATGACATGATTTTTTTGACATCTCAATGGAATAGGGGAGCGTCCTAACCATGGCTTTGCTGCTCAGAAGTAAAGACTGCCAACGTCTTCTGTTGCTGTTACCATATGCCTACATGGAAGATGAGTTAGTTTTCTGCTTATATCACGCTGGTTGGTTGCCTTTCTTGACCTCCAAGGTCCGTCTTTAGTCCGTTTCAAATTTTACATTGAATTTACTGTATCTGTACCTTTAGTGAAGTAATTCGAAATACCTTTAGCCATTATCTGCTTGCTAACCACGTTATTGGATCCCTCTCCTGATTTACCTTTAATATATATTATGTATGTCATTGAATTACCAAACTGTCAATCAAATGGATAATATTTGGTATTAATTCAAATCCAAATTCTTTCAAAATAAACCATGGTAGGAGAGACTAGAGAGATTTATTTGATTTATTCTATAGGCTTTTTTTATATAAGAACATGTTACCCTTCATGTCAATATACTTCAATTGTTACTCCAATTTGTATGGTGATGTTATTATTTATAAATCATGTTTTTATTCCTTTTAATTTTTAGATATCAGTTTTTAGTCGTTTTTTTTTTCATACCTCAAAAGGTTCAATTGATGCCAATTCTATTCAACTTCAACAATAATTCACATACATTTGTTTTTTTGAAAAAAATTCTTAAGTGTACATTTTTTTGTACTAAAAAAAACTTAGATCAATTAATAAATATAAGTTTGACGGAGTTTTGTTAAAATTTGGCTTACAAAAGCGAAATCGTCATTTGAGTACATAGCGTAGTCTTTTTTTAAGTTTAACAATATGAAGCATGAATATATGAATTCTCATGTCATTTTTTCTTTCAAGTCTAACATGGACAGGAAGATTTGACTATTGATGTCGGATATATATCTTAATTTGTTGAATTATATTCAAATTTAACATAGTTTAATTACATCAAAATTATCATTTTACCTCTCTTCAATTGTGAAATGTATAAGTTATATATCAACCCGTTAGAAGTACACTCCATTTGAGAATGTAGCCCCACATGTAAAACTAGAAAATGTAGGGATTCTATAAATTAATTGGTTCGCGTAGAGTTTGGTTGATACATGATTAAATAGTTGGTCTACCATCTACATCGACCGCATCCAATCTGTAAGAATCAACAGAAAAGACAAATCCCTTGCATTACACCATATCTTGCTCTGAGTATTGATGGCATGAATAAATTGTCATTTCCTTAAGTCTCTCTTCCAATTCAATATCATCATATAACTGATATGGAGAATAAATGGATATCTATCAATTCATCCATCATCCATCGACACTATACCCTATCGGATGAATTGAGCTATACTTGAATTTATATGTACATATACTTAAAAGTTGGGATACAGCCTATTTAATATTACTTGTCGACTATGTTTAAATTTATAATTAGAGACATCATTTCATACATATATAAACCAAAATTACGGTACTCAATCAATTCATTCATGTCTAATCTAGCTTGGTGTGTGTTATTATGATAAAACATAGGATCCAGCTACATTATTATTAACCAATATTTATAATTCAAACTAATTGAGATTTCAATGAAAAGCCACAAATTAAGTGGAAAACACATAATATACTTGATTAATTACCAAATAATGAATTAAATTAGTTAAGAACCAATAAATTAACAATTTAAAAATTAACTTGGTAAATGACATTTAGAATTCCTTGAACCAAATATCTTAAAGTTATGGGTTAAGATAATATACAGAGAAAATAAGATAGTTTATAGTTCATCATTGTCATTACTATTCATCAATGCTCAATAGCCAAAAGCTAAAGGATCTGAATAATTGCTTATTAACAACAAAGGGATCCATTAGCAAAGCTTCAAGAACATGAAAATGGCTGTACTACAAAGCAACATCGTACACCCCAACACTACAAAAAGACATGTTCACAACATGTTCTAAAAGATCCCATCAATCTAAGCAAGATCCAACAATGAAACCATTCCACCCCCTACAAGAATCAAAATCCTTCATCAAATCATAACAAATAATAAGAACAAGAAACTCAAGTCAATGAAGATAAGGGCACAAGAAAAGGTAATAATAAGATGATTAGAGAGAATATGTAGAGCTCCCTTCAATCCAAACAAGGATTCAACAAAAACAGTTGATGAATCTCCTGAGATATGCAAGCCACAGGCCCATCAGCTTTAGATATGATTGATGAGATAGCGATAGGGGCTGAGGGATCCATAGCTCAGCAGCTCGATCAACCAAGCACAACCCTCTATTGGACTTCAAGGAGCTCTGCTTGTAACCCTAATCCCAAAAAGATTAAATTTTTAAACCAAACACTCAATCAATCAAAAATCCAAGAAGAACCCAGAAAAGAAGAGAAAAAACCCAGTTGAGATCAGGAGGAACAAAGCCCATGTGGGTTAGAAACCCTAGAGGAAGATGATGAGCCATTAGAAGGCAACAAGCTTGCATCCATGGAGGAGCTTTAACAGCCGAAAGGAAAAGGAATATAAGAGGAAAAGGGTTGAAGATGAAAGGAAAAGGGCAAAGGGGGATTAAAGCTTTATAGTGGAAAGATGTAGAGATTAAAAAGAATAGTGGAAAGATGTAGAGATTAAAAAGAATAGTGGAAAGGAAACGGCGTGGGGTTGGGCAGAAGCTAGCCTGTCAAATATCTCGGGATGCTTCCTTCTAAGATTCCCACTATTACTATTATTTTTCTTTTCTTTTTTTATTTCTTAAATTACAAATATAATTATTTTTAAATAATAATTAATATTTTATCTAAGTTTTATCTCCATAAATTTAATTATTATTGGATTTTTAGGGTTTGGATTAAATTGTGAAATAAATAAAAATTGTTTTAAAAAATAAGTATTATAAACAAAATTTAATAAAGATTAATTATTGTTTTTAATGTTGATATAATTATAGAAAATGAAAGCGGAGCTAACTCTTAACGATGCAATGACAGATAATTAATTGAATATTTAAAATGGTCAATTATCTAGAAACAGGTTTTAATTATTTAATTAATTATTACGACTAACCTTGCCCAACTTAGAGATATAGATTTTAAAAAATTAATTAATTACAGAACTTAAATAATTTATTAAATTACTTTTTTATTTGCTACATGTTAATTTTTTCCAAATTTGTATTTAATTTATAAATAAAACATACATTTTATTTATATTTGAATTTTATTTCACTCCTGCTATATATTTAATATCTATATGTGATTTTCGTGAATTTAATAAAATATATAAAATTATAATTATTTTAATAGTTTACTAGACATGCGAGTCACGGTAAAATATTTATTTTAATTATAGCTCGATTAGATTGTATATTAAAAATTGACGAGGGGTTTTATATGTTGCGCGATCGAAAGCATTGCTAAATGCAAGAATGTGAGAAAGAAAGACAATGAAGTTACCAAACCAACCTCCAGTGTACTTCCCTTTCTCCATGCTTTCCATGTACGAAATTCCCATCCAAAAGGACGTTATTGTTTTAGATTATATAAAATGCCCAATAACGTTAATCTCGACCCTATTGTTTGTAAATTTCTTACTTTGTGTCAAATCGTCTCTTGTATAGGTATGGACTTGAGCTGGAAAATAGACCTCTACCAAATTGTGAAGATGCAGGAATAGCTCGGTGTGGTTTTAATGGTTGGGTTGTAAGGGCTCTCGACCGCATGAATAGTTTAACGTGTTTACTTGAACCAGTGTAGCTTCCTTTCATTGAGTGCCCTATGTCGATTCATTGAATTTTGTATCAATTAAGTTTGTGAGTTCTAGTGGATCAAGTTATCAGTGTTTTAGTAAAAGGGGGTTTGTTATTTATCTCGTGTTAGGTTTTTGTATTGATTATGTTGAAATGGTACGGGTATGTGCAACATTGGATTCTATATATTGTGCAAGACGACTAATTGACATAAAAATGCTTATGAATAGTGTCGTACTTGGTTTTAGGCATTGTAAAATAACGGTAAAACCGAGACAAGATGGACCCAGTACTATCCAAGTTCAAATTAAACTGATGTTGATGTCTAAGATACCAAAAAAGGACACGACCAAACGAGAAGTAGACAGTTCTTAGCCTCCATTGCAAGTATATTCCTTTATGGGTCTTGCCTCTTGTAATCCACCGTCTCGTCCCTTCTACTGTCTATTTGATTTTTTTCCTACACCCTGTCTAAGATAAAAATACGAGAAACCATAGACTTACCCCCTTATAAATATATCGCTAAGCGTTAGAGTGTGCATGTCAAACACCACACCCGTGCAAATATTTTATTATTTTACGAACCAATTATTATTATTATGATTTAAATATTAATTTTATTTGTAATGCTAAACTATGGGAACATGACCGTGACATAAATTAAAAATTTAAACGAATCTTAAAAAATATAAAATTAGTTTTATTTAATTAAATATTCAATTTATTATTGGATATATTATTTAAAATATAATTAAATTTCAATAAATATCTTTCCGAGGCTTTTGATATTTGTACGCGATTAAATACACGGCCTTTTTCCAACGGACAAAAGCTCGTGACGATTCGCCGAACTTCGTGTAACGGGAGGAATCAAAATCACGAGGACCGAGATTTTAAAAAATATATTTAAAATATGAAAATATCGTCGCGATATGATATGACGAGTTAATGTCGAGATGATCGGAACCGCCACGTGTAATGGAAAGTTCAAAAGATGAATGAATGGCTGTTGCTGTCTTGCTGACCTAATTTTAAAATTTTTATTTAATTTATTTTCGTGAATTGACAACACCAGTCCCTGTTCTTTTCTCCTGGGCCCCACATTTCATTCCGCGCACTTTAGTCTTTTCCTTTTTCTTTCTTTTATCATACGCCGACTGCGACTTAACGTGAGCGTCCGGCCAATTTCCGTCCTTCTAGGGGAAGGTGCCGATCCTCTGCGGCTCGTTCGCACCGAATTCTGTGCTATCGGGGAGTGGATTGTGTTGTCTTATCCGAGAGTTTGAAGTTTATTAGACGACGTGGCTGAATTTTAATCTGGTGAGGTAGGTGATGGGTGTGGATTAAAGTAGTAACGAGTGTAGAGGAACGAGCCCACAAAATCTAGGGCTAGATCTCAAGGTGTACGAAGATGATAACATTACCCGTCCGTTCTCTGACATTCTTCACCTCTTCGCCAAACTTGGTGCCACGTGGACATGACCAGTCAAACTGATGGAATGAGGGGAGTGCGGTTCGTAATGATGACTCACACTTTCCATAAAGTGAGCTGTATGCACGTCTGGTGTCGGCCTTCTTATTTTTTATTCCCCTTTTCTTTTCTTTAATCAATGTTTAATAATAAATTCTAATAAAACATTTTATCATTCTTTGTTCAATTCACTTACTTTAATTTTTCATTTTTTTATATAAATATTAAAACGATTAAGATAATGTGTATAGAATTAATTTTAGAAAATAAAAAAATTATAAATTTGTTTTATAATTAATTTAATTAAAATAATTATAAAACAATTTTATATCTCGTATTTTCAAATATGTGTTTGGTGGAAGATTTAAAAACTATATCTCAATTTTAACATAATTAAAAGCATATAATTAGTTGTAGTTACTAATTAAATACTAAGTTAAATTTAAATATGCATTTTATTAAAATTATATGTAATTGCTATTTTACAATTTCTTATAATTTATTTTTTACGTCTGGAATCTTGGAGAGAAAAAACATGGGCCTTGAAAGCCTGTGTTGATCTGTTCCTCGGCCATATTTGTCGATCGTGGGCTTGCATGAGATGGGCTTGATATTGGGCTTAACCTTGGGCTTTGGTACTGTGGTTGGGCCAATTTTTCTAAGGTAAATTATATGATTTGTATATTGCTCATAGACTATCACTTTTACTATCCAATCCACGGTTGGATTGTGATGTTTCATGTCCATGGTCTAGGTTACATCTATCGTGAGACCCAACATTAGTTTGAGAGGGAACAAACCATTCATTATAATAGTTCGAAAACCTCTCCCTAATAGACGCGTTTTAAAATTGTGAGGCTGACGACGATGCGTAACGGGTCAAGCGAACAATATCTGCTAAGAGGTGGTTTTGGCAGTTACAAATGATGTCAAAGTCAGATACAGGGGTGGGGCGCTTGCGAGAATGCGATCCACAAGAGGATAGATTGTGAAATCTCACATTGGTTAGAAGGGGAATGAAACGTTTATTCACGAGTTTGACAGTTGTGGAAGCCTCTCTCTAATCAACAGATTTTAAAACCGTGAGATTGACGACAATACAAACCTGTCAAATGTGGACAATATCTGCTAAGTCATCTACATATGAAAAGGATTTGTCGCTTCACTTTATTGCATAACTACTTCGACCCAAATGGATGTAATGAGAAAAACGGCGTGATTGTCCTTTCAAACACGTCTATATTATTAGATAACATTGTGTTCATATATATGATATAAATAACACTCTTATACAAACTTCACCCTAAATATCTGTAACGAACCAGGATATATAAATTTTTAAACAAATACAAGGGCATGAATGGGAATGCAAATATTATCCTCCCTAACTTCATTTATTTATATTATATACTATACTTTTTATTTTTTTTATTTGAAATAAATCACATAAAAACGTTACATTTACTTCTATGAGAAAGCTTTGAAATATTATCTTTAAATGGAAACTATGGAAACTGTGCATGGAAATTTTACAAAAAGACAAACTAATTGGAAAAAAAAAAACCATTTAATTAATTAATTTTTTATTTTCCAAATAAACTAAATAGGTTTAGGGAACAATTTAATAGGAAATTAGGAAATTTTGGGGTTCTTAAAAGCAATTCCCACCCGATCGGTTCAAATGAACCGGGTTCGTTGGCACAGAGTGAGAATCAATCAGATATAAGCATCTGTACGATAAACCCAATGCAGCTTCATCTTACCCTGTGAAGCTTTCTCCCTGCTTACTGCGATACGAGAAACCCTAGACACACTTCTTCGCAGCCTACGGCGTTGTTTCCATGGGTATGAATCTCATATCTTCTGTCATCTTCGAATTTCCCTCACCAGTTCTGTAACTTTCCATCTAACTTGCATGGTTTCCAGAAGTTATGGTGCTTGATCCATTGATCTTGCTTAATTTATTTTGTTGTCTAATTCAATTCTCGAAATGAATTTTGGATTAGTAGCTTACGCGGAATCTGTAATTTCTTGTCTGTTTTATTTTTTCTGGTTGATTAATCAAGATTTTCAAATTGATTACGTCTTGAATGTCAAGAACTAGGATTAGTTCTGTTCATCGCATCTATTTTATCTTGCGTCGACGAAATGGAGCTAATATTTGGATTGATATGGAATATCAATCTTTTCAAGTTGCGCTGCTCCTACTTTTCTTCTTACTGCCTCTAATGGTACAACCAATTAATAGAGCCAAACTATCGTATGCGTCTTCTCGATAAACTTGCTGATAAAATAATATTGTGTCAGATCATTATGTACCTTGTGAGATTTGTTGGTTTTAACTTTTCATTTCTGATATTGATAGATATCGAGGAGGA